CAGTCAGTCAGTCAGTCAGTCAGTCAGTCAGTCAGTCAGTCAGCCAGCCAGCCAGCCAGTCAGTCAGTCAATCAGTCAGCCAATCAATCAATCAATCAATCAATCAGTCACTCCGACAGAAATGACCTGAGAGTCGTCGTTGATCGATGTGTCATTTGGGCTGTCGCCTCTTCTCGGGGAACATGTGGGTCATTGTCGTTATGAGCCTGAAGCATCGAAGCACGGCACCACGCAGTAAGGGGAACTATCGGACCGACGGAGATCCCTCGTGGCACGAAAGTCGTCATGCTCCGTTGCCGCGGCCGCGGCCGAGCGATGCCTGCGACGCGTCGAATGATCATTGCGAAATGAGGCTATTTTGTTCTGATTTCTCGATTTTAGTAATCCTGCCGGCAGGTGGATTTTCTGATCGATCATCAGACGTCGTCAGCGTCCGAACGAATGTGATTCCTTGTGGGCGAGCAAAGCTGAGCCAAGGCAGGAACGCAGCTGAGAGTGTTGTTGTCCTAGTCCAGGTCGTCGACTCGCGTCCTCATCATTATCATCACTGTCACCCGACCCGGCCGGTCAGTCGCAATGGTCGTCACGGTCACTCGATGGACGACAGCCGTACTGGTGCCGTCGCTGTGCGCGGCGGTGCTCGTGCTGCTGCTTCCGGCGGCATACTCGAGGAGCATAGACTGGACCAGATTCCACACGGATGACCCCGGCGCCGTATATAAAGTCTACCGTGTCTTGCCAAATACCACCGACCATCTGTCCGCCCTGCTCCAGCTGTGGAAGATCTCCTGGAAGTACCAGGTACGTTGAGGTCGTTTTTTTACCGCCCACCGTTTTAGAGCATGGTGACATCACACACCCGCTGCTGATCGACGATGATCATGTGATCGGCATAAAACGCTGACATATGTCTTGTCGTTTTCTGGTCCGTATTTCAATGGCACTTCAATCAGCCGACGGAATTGCCCCAATGCTTCAGATTTTTTTATGCTGTGTATGGAATGGGTCTCGTTCGCATTGCAACGTCTGCTGTTACTCGGTCTACAGAACTGCCGCGACCACTAAATCCAACCTCAGCTGTAACTTACTCCTTGAACCCATGCTGAGGTCATTCCCTCAGTAGCCAACGACTTCTGAGCAACGCTTCGACAGAACTGCCATCGACTATCGACACTGCCAAACGATGATCGATGCCATTTCTGTCGAAACGCCGGATCTATGTTAAATAAGGAATTTCGTCTTGTCTTTCGTGCTGCCAACCGTGGAATCGGAAAACGCTTCCTCTTTCTAGCCGGTTTGTCACCGAAATATTTCTGATGTCTGAGACGTACACACAAAAAAAACGAAAATATTCTACGTAAGGGTTTACAAGCAGAAGTAGGTTATGTGAAGACCAGGGACATCGGCTAGGATGGACACATGCGTGTCATGAAGGTCACAACGGGAAAATGTCAACAACCACTTTACATTTATACACTGCCACAGGGACA